AAAAAACTTAAAATTAAATAAATTAAAATAATCAATAAACGCAACGCAAAATGTACTACAGTTTTTAAAATATATTAAAATTGATAGACCTGATGATGATGTGATACACATTGAAACATGTCGTCGATACAAAAAATGTAACAAGATGCAGTGTCTACTGAGAATGTTATAATTTTAGATAATTTTAAACAACATTATTTTAAGTTGTGTATAGACGGAAAATAAAAATATTGTATGTTTTTTTATGTTTAAATAACTTGATTTATTTCTTGTTTTACGTAATTTATTCAACTTTCGAAGTACAAAGCCGATACTGAATGATGGATTCGATATCAAACAGGAACACTATTCAATTAAGCAATTCCACTCTTCGAAAGTTCCGGCTTATTTTTCTATTGCGTCGAAGAAAAAAATATATTTATATTTGATAGCCAGCGACTAAATGGGGCTCCTGTGTATCTGCTATTATTATTATTTTTTTCAATTCAATTAATTTATTTACGTGTTTGCCAACAGCAAGAAGCCAATAACAGGCAAACACTGATAATACATACAATAATAATGAAAAATATTACACAAACAGATTAACTAAACTTATACATGTACAGTATTAAATATAACTGCCAAGTACAGGCAAACCCAAAATAGAAACAATATTCTTACTAATTTTAACTTTAGAAATAAAAAAAAACTGACATACTTTTGAATATAATAAGATTGTCGTCCTTGAGAATATGATAATTTCGCAGACCTTTAAGAATTTTTCCACCTGTTACGGAACTCATTGGTCGCAAGATCCAATCATCGGACTCTATCCTCAACCAACCGAACTGAGTTCACATCCTAAGACCATATTTCTTTAAAATCCGTTTCAATTGCATCCTCCCGTCCACTCGGTATCTGAAGTCGTCTCTGTCTCTGACTTCTCGTCTTCTAACCCCACCTCTCTTAGTCTGCTCCTGGCAATATCATACATCGATCAGTATCCTATTATTATTTATTTACTTCAACTGGGTTTGAACCCTGTGACAGTGTATACGTACATTATGAAGCTCCTCGCCTAGCAATTTTAACAGTCCTCTGTTAGCTCATTTCTCTACGTCCAAATATTCTCGTCAGTGCCTACTCTGTTCCCTACCTTCGGTCAATGTCATTATAATTTTTAATATTAATATTAGTCACTCTCCATTACAAACGAGTTTGCTTCGTGAGCACGGGTATTTCAAAACCCATTTACGTATATACAATAACTGTACGAGATATGGCTCGTTGTTTCTACTTAAAATACAACTGACCTGTCACTACGAATAACTGTCACTGCTGGAAAATTACCTTTTAATGATCCGCTGGACATAGACCACATGTCTACCAGCCTATCAGTGACAGTTGAAGCTCAACGTCGATGTAATTTGTAGCACCGGGTGATATTATTCCATCTATACACCGTTTTAAAAGGTATTTACTTCTATGTACCTAAGAAAAACTTTGCCGCTGAGGTATATGGACCAGCAGCTATTTCTGAAATACATTTTGTTTTTAATACGTTGCATATATTATATAGTTTTATTGTGAGGGATGACTATATATTTTACATCAGCGTCTTTCGAATGATGTATTATTATTATCATCATCATTTCCATAATTATCAGTATTAGATGCCTGGTTGGTAGCTAGTGATTCCCTAAATGACAATAAAATCTATTCCTTTACAAAGCAAATTCTCTTAATTTCCATATAATCAATTAGATTACTTTCATTATAATTCGACTGTAATTGGGCGAGTGTGAACGAATTTGTAAATGTTTATTTACGTCGTTTGAAATATTCATGATAAAAATCAAAACATCTTTAACGCTGAATTAGTTACAAACAATAGTAATCAGACTAATATAAATGAAGATATTAGAGTAGTAATATCTGTCAGCTTCAGTACTTTAAAACAATAATTAACTCAAGGCACAATGGCTGCTAATAGAAACAACAAACAGAACACGATCGCTTCTCCTTTAGTTCACGTGACTTCCAACAGATATCATTAGCTACAGGACAACATGACTTACATTTCTCACGCCTTCCCCCACTAACCCATTTACCACAATGAATCAACCCTAACCAACTACATGATGAGACCGGTCACAAAGATGAAACACAAACAGAATAGAAACCAGTTTGATGTTACTGTCTGTAAAAGTTGCTTGCCATTACTTATTACACTAAGACAATGGAAATTAACCGCACTTTTACTTTTCAATGCACTGGATCAGTTTAACCATTCATAACCTAATCCTGTTAGTAGCAAACGAAATGTAGTATTACATTTCCATTGTCAGTCTATTGTCAAAATCGTGCAAGAAATGTGTGTCATGTTTTCGAATGAACCAAAAGTCGCATGGAATGGATACAAACATCGTTTCGCATTCGTGAGATACTCAGTTCGAAACGTGGGAAACAAACCGGAAATTCAGATAACTTACTTTGAATCAGGCGATGATATTCCTTCAGCAACTTCAACTGAACCAACACAATAAATCACACGACACACAGAAAGACTAATTCGTTGAACAAAGTCAGAATACGCAATGTTCTCGGTTTCGCCGCTCTGCCAACCGAACAGTACCGCATGCTCCATCTGTTAGTGATATCATGTAACTAAAACTCAAATGTTGGCATCCGTAAAACAGCAGTACTGCCACTACACGCATACTGTAGAATGTATGTATATATGTAAATAGGGAGGAAGATATTATTAAAATCTGTCCTAAATAAGAGGAAGGGATGATGTGGACTGGAATTAATCTAGTTCTGAACAGATTACAATAAATAAACCTTCAGGATTATTATTAGGTTTTCAAAAACGACTTCGCTCCATGGAGTCACTCGGGGGGGATACGGAGTCTGTAGAGAAAGAAACTAAAACAATATAAACAAAAGAAGCACAACCATTGTTTATTTAAAATTATCTTTGAAAAACAATCCATGTAACTAAATATGTACAAGTTATTGATCATCAAACAGACTAGATGTACATGTTACAATTTAAAAAATAATTATATAAAATTTATATTTAGTGTGTGTGAATAAATTAACATAATTTACATTTTTCAAGAACATTTAACTGAATTATATATTATACATAAATGTTCACCATTCAAAATACGTGTTTATTCTTTCACAAAGAAATTAATTCATTCATACATTTGATTTAGAATATCCTGGACTAACATTCTCAATTATTAATTTTAATGAAGATGTTGACTTTCCATTTCTCATTTCTTCACGAAATACTATCACCATAGTATCAGAGAGAGGTTTTAAAACAGTCACTAACATACAGAATACGCCAACATTCATTCAAATTCTCATAAAAAGTAATTTTACAACAAAGAATTTTACATTCCAGACGTGATTTTGTTTTATTGTGGGCATAAACTAGAAAGTTTCTATAAAATTCTGGCATTAGCCTACATTTACAAATACCGTAACGTAATCGGCTTCACGCTTAAAGAGGGAAGGAAAATTTCAATGACCTTGACGCTGACAAAAACAGGCTCAGATGAATTTCAAATTTGATGACCTTGAAGTAGTATTGGTGAACAATTAGTGACCTTCATCTGTTACTACTTTAGACGAAGTGAACATTTTCGTCATCTAAGCTGAATATTAAATTAAATGTCTTTTATAAACTTAACTTCAGTATGACGGGTTCAAAAGTAGACATTTGATTTTATTACGATCTATTCCATCATTAGCGAGAAAAAAGTTTCACAAAAGTATTACAGTGTCCTCTGTTTGCTGACATATTAATCAAAGAACAGATGCTATTAATAATTAACAAATACAATTCAATTGTCAGTCTCGTCGCAAACTTCTTCTTAGTCAAGATGACGAGATTTTTAATTGAAATTAAATTAATATTCTGTGTTACGATGGTTTCCTGTTTCAAATAATTTCAACATCTGATTTAAATCACTTTCAATTCTTATACGTGAAATTTATAAGTGGAAACCCACAATTATTTTTTTAAGCTTTTATATAGAATTAGCAATTAATTATTGAACTAATAATTAAGAAATACGGAAACTAAATCTCCAATTAATTATTTCAGAACATGTGATGATAATAATAATAATATATTTTAACAGGAATAAGTTATACTTCGCAGTTTGATTTGTTTTTTAAGGAATAAAAAATGAGATCAGATGCATTTACGTCAATTTACTTTGCGTCAAAGAAGGTTTTGGCACAAATTCAACCTCTTCTGATCCAGAGCTCTTAAAGCATAAGGAATGGTTGACAGTAGATTATAATTAGTTAATACAGACTTTCAGAAAACGTAATTAATTAAAACTTTGGCCATCAGAGACAACACTGACTTAGTTTTAAGTGATCTATCTGCATCATGGACAGATTAATCACCTAAGATTTGTTTATGAATGTACTTTTTCCGTGCAGTAGTTACCGTACTTAAAATGTTTGTAGGTTAGGAAATATGGACCACATAATGTGGTTCAATTAAGACCAAGAAAATGTATTAAACGTGTTTGTTTCCAGTAAATAGCATTACCTAATCAGAATCAAACATGTTTATATCATACACTTTACGGAGTTTCAAAATGAACTGTTTCTACTGATTTCTCATAGCGATATCACATTTAGGTTATGTACGGACTTGAAAGTTTGTTACGATGAAATTATTATTTATTAAATTCGGTTGCTTATGCTTATAAAAGAGAAATCAATTTCAAACACAATTCTCCAAAAAACATTCCACATTAATTTTATAATGGAAAGTCGTGTCATTTTACTGAGAAGAAAAGGGAGTTTCAAACGTTAATACACCCAAGTTTGAAGTTTTAACAAATTTCTACACGGTAAATGATAAATTTTAACTTCTCAAATACCACAACTGAGTGTACGTGTTTGTTACAAAAATAAGACATTATACAATGGACTAAGAAAATATGTACACACTCTAATATAAAATAACAAAATTAATCAACTAAAGTAATGCAGTGTAGTGCATGATATATAGAGAAGCAGTACATTGTATTACGAGTGGTTGTACATGTGAACGACTGGATTGTCAAGCTACCAACACGAACATCGCCACTGACCTCGAAGCAGGCCTCATCCTGTGTATAAACTGTGCATCTTAATTTCTGTACACATTAAATAAAATAATCTGATATATATACACCACACTCGTCTTACTGTGAAATATTTTATGAGATTTTTTTTTTGTTAAAGTTTGTAACACATCTGTGAGCTGCCAACATCAACATTCAAACATTTAAAAACCATTAGATTAATATGTTAAAGAAATGTAATCATTAAACATTACGAATAAAATTTCAATCTTGCAAAACCTAGACGTGAATAACCTCAGATTTACGTGCATTACTTTGGAACATTAAACATTCAGTAATTTGAGAGTCATTACCATTCCGTTCGCATTTTTGCATGTTTCAAACATGTGTCAGTTTGATATCACTAAATTGACTAGCTGTTATATGAAACCCAACTAAACCCACTTATTAAGTAAATTAATATGAATATAAATCAAAAGAATCTTTGGTTATTTTATTAAATTAATTTAAATATTAATAATTTCTCGAAATAATCAAAATATTTCAGGCCTATTACGTATATAGTAATATTACAATTAATATTATAATCCAAAAGATTTACGTGATACAGAAATTTAAACAAAAAGGAATAAAACACAATTTAAGAAAACGCTGGTCGCTGTGGTTAAATAGATAACATGACGGGACGTAATGGAGTGAGAAAAAGCTATGGAAAAGTGGAAGGACATTTGTTGTGGACATCAAAATATGAAATTATTTCTTTGCAGTTTATGTACTGTAAAATTTTAGGCAGCCATGTAAAAGTAGTGAGAAAATAATGATTAATTTGTGAAAGTAATTTTGTTTTTTTTCATAATTAATTAACATAAACCAGAAGAAAAATCTACAGAACATCTTAATGTGAAATTTCTTTTTCTGCTTATGCAAAAAGGCCTTAAATATCTGGTTCACTCACTGATTTTAATAATACCAACAACAAAAAAAGTCAAAAAGCTATTAATATATTAAGTCTTTGGCAATTTATGGCACACAGTTATTAGAAAGAGGGTTGCTAATTTCTGTAAGAAAAGAAAAGAATATAACTTCATGCGATGCCTAGTCGCTATATACAGAACATAACCTAAATTTCCGTAAGTCTCATTTTAACTTTGGGAGTAGCACTAACCTGCTGATTATCATCACAGTCGATTTAACACCGCCCAAGACGAATGTCAAGAGTTTGTCCAGGATTTTCTACTCGCATCACGTACACAATTAAAGAGTACTCACGCATTAACAAAAATATTGTAACGAAATACATACACACCCTTTCATATAAACAATTACTGATTTAGCACCATTTTTGATTAAAACATCTGCGACGTACAATATGTATAAAACAAAAATAGACTTGTACAATTAATTACACGTTCACTTTATAGTTGGACCGCTGTGTCGTCTTGTAACAGGATTATTCATACGTGAATTCATTAGGCCATCGGCTAATTATTATGTGGACAGTACAACTACAGTAAGTAAATTAATTCATGGCAAAACTACGACACCTGTTTCTCCCAACTGGTGTCTTTCCTCAAGGTTTCCATGAGCCCCTATATGCCCTGCCCAACTCTTCCTACTCGATTTGATCTCAGTAAATAATATCTGATGAGAAATACAATTCTCTCCATCCTCCCTCTTCGATCTTTGGATGCTGAGATCCAAAAGTGTTCGCTGGAGTCACACCACTTACCAAAATGAGAGGAACGTGATACTGCATGGTAGTACAGAGACGCTTCCACCTTTAGAGCACATAAATGAACATTACTCTTCACGCTACACATTTGGGTGTAATTTAATGTAAAAAAAAAAATATCTTGCATAGTGCCATGGATTTTTAACATCCTACATAACCCATTTACAGAACAAAATTCAATAACTATAAAAAGTGACAGTAATGTGTCTGACGTACTGCTCACGAAATACGTCCCACCAGTTGCATTTCCTTAACAATATAATAATTATTAATTTCGACAGCTATGAGGTTGGAGGTTGTTGAGAGGAGTCCTCTATAAGGGCAGACTGTGTCGTTGAGGTAGGGGTTGGGGGGTTACTTGATAATTCACCCTCAAGTTCAGAGTCTCCAGGGGGTGGAGGAGATCCATCACCTGGTCCAGCAACACCTGCTGCTACTGACATTTCTCTCACGTTGCCCGGAAGGTAGTCTTTCCAGCTGCGGAACAAGTAACGAGTGAACTTGCGGAGTTGACGGAACTTGCAGTACGTGGCGCCTTCCGCTGACTCTAGCTGCTGCGTCTGAATGAGGAAACCCTTCTCCTTGAATGTCTGCTCGAGTTTCTCGCGCGCCAGAGACTTCCGGGTCTTTCTTTTGCGTCTCTGCAAGCGGAAATGCTGCGAACCAGTTCCTTGTCCACCGTGGTCATTACCGAACCCTCCACCGTCAATTTTCTCACCACTCTCACATTTCTTTTTTAATCCCTGGGGATCGAAATAAACTCCTCTCCCATCTGAAGATTTCTGCGATGCGTCCATCTCAGAAGACAACGATCGAGTAAAATCACCCGAAGGCGAACCGGTGGGCTTGGTATCTGTCGGAAGTCCTGGTGTTGACAGATATTTCTGATGCTCGTCTAACTGAAACCCTCCTACTAACGCACTGTCCCGCAATGCATTTCCTGGCGTAGAAGGAACAACAGGAATTTTATCATTTCCTATAATGGCAGATGAAGCAGCTGCAAGGAAGTGCTCAGATGGAGAACCTCTGCTGGCTCCTGCAGACTGTTGGAGAGATTCTCTTGGGAAGAACTCATATCCACGCATGGATTTATCACCTGTGCCACTGTAGTAGCGGAAGTTTCCTCCAGAATCCACTGACAACATTTTCTTCTCCTGCAGACTAGGTTTTGCCCCGCCGGTAAACTTGAATTTGCAGATGCTAACTTCTGTCGTGGGATTTGTATTGTTTTCGCTCGGCATAGGAGGAATAAATATGGCTGAACGTTTCCTCTTGGTGCCTGTGCCTCCAGAGGCTGGAGGTGGATTACCTAACGGAGCCAGCCTCTTCATACGTGGGAATGTCAACTCTGACGGCATCACTCCGCAAGGCTTCCCAGAGTTAGGAGGACTTAGCATCGTAGAAAAAGCTTTTGGTATAAGATTTCTTGGGTTGTTGGAAGACGCTGCTTGTTTCTGTTCTGGTTTAACTTGTGTATTTGTTGTCTTAGTATTTACTTGTTGTGGTAAGGGACAATTTGGGGCTGGTGTGATGTGGGGAACTGGGAGTGGGGTAGTGGGGATAAATGCCTGGCCTGAAATAGATTGATCTGTGGGTGACATTGAAACAAGAGGTATTGCCCCAAGCTTCTGGTAGTACAGGAGCTGTGACTGCAAAGCCATGGGATGAACAAACACTCCAGCACCTGGCCAGTAAACATATCCACCTGGAAGATTTGTTCCAGGGACCTGAAACTCAGGCGGTGAGGGAAATGTCAGCCCTGCTATAGTAGGAGGAAAAGGATCAGTCGGTCCCACATTTCGAACTGGGGTGTGGTTCCTGCTGCCATCTGGTGTGCAAGTCAGCTTTGGAGAATCATCACTGATTTCCAACAACTCCTCCAGGTCACTAGATGATGAATTATGAGTTGGTTCGCTCTTAATAGATACAGGAGATGGACCTGGCTTCGTGTTGTTTGTCGCAGCAGCAGAACTACGAGGCTCGTAAAAGTTTCCATGTTTTCTCAGGAGTCTTATCTTAAGTTGATTTAAATCTTTCACACACAGGTTCAAGGGCTCGTCGCTGCAAGGCACTGTCGGTGAGGGTGACACGGGTGGAACGGGTGCGGTCCTCCTGTTCCATGCCCCGCTATAGTTCGAGTCATGGATATTCGAAAACATGTTCTTTCTGGTAGCATCCTGCTGCGTTGCAGCCGTCAGCCTCTTTTCCAGCAGACTGCTGATGATTCTGTTCTGCACGTCAGCGTGATTGATCTGAGCACCTTCTCGTAAAGACTCGATGGTCTTGCACTTTATACCCGACTGTGTAATCGATGCCAATTCAGGCTTGGCCTTTGTAGCGTGGCTCTCCTGCTGAGGTCTACGTCTGCTAGCAGTCTGCTCCTCCATTTCTGCCAGATTGGCACTGTTAGGAGCCCCAGGAAATATAGTCCCATAATTCTTGTAAATGAGGTGACAAATATCTGCCTTCTTCGGCTTCCTACCTCGCCTCGGCTTCATGTTGTCAAGTGTTATCTCGCCCATATAGGGCAGATCCTGATACTTCATCACTTTGTTCACCGTAGTATTTGCATTATGATGCTGTGAAGTTGACGGAGCGGCCATTTTAGTGCTGTTGCCATTTGCTGAAGAGGATGACATGATGACGGAAGACCGTCTCTTGATGCTGTCCAACGGAGGAACACTTTTGTTTCCACATCCTGACTCAGACTGTTGACTGCTTGACAACAGGGAGCCTAAGAGTCCTTTACCCTGCTGCACACATTTGTTTCCGTTCAGATTTGGCACTGGTTTCCTCTCATTTATTATACTCACTTCATCGTCAACAGCGTGTTTCTGGAAGTCATTCTGTAACCTTGCTATGATCTCACCATCACTTCTGCCTAACCCTAAAGTCTGCAAAGGGATAATCTTGAGTTGTTCCGCTGGGGACACTCCGGTGTTCAAGATCAGTGGAGCAGAGGCTGAGAACTGCGCGGAGTGAGCGTCAGACTCGATCTTGACAGGAAGGCAGTGGATGGGCGACCTTGCAGATTTCTCACCAACTGATGATCCTGTTTTGTCAGAGGGTATTCTCAAACCTGATGCTGTCTTCTCATTGGTGGAGGAATTCTGCTTGTCACCTGATACCCTGTTGGCCTCCTGCTGTGCGATGGATGCCTCGTAGTGATCCAGATACTCCGGGGGAAGAGCTTGGTGATGGAACTTCAGTTTCCACCGTGATCGACGGCGACCTCTGCAGAGAATGATCAAACATAGTCAACGAAGAACATTAATTTTGTTACTGTAACTGGTCACTTTAATGAGATAAAAATATTACTTCCCTTACAAATTTACAAATTTGTTTCTTTATACGTTACGATATAATTTGAATAATTAATTCACACAAATTATGTTATGGAATACTTGAGAATGGCTGTTGGCTTTTCTATTACACTATATCTTGTTGTTCAATGGGATAAACAATGATCATTAAATTAGTTCAATAGCGAGTTTTTCTTTCTTATAACATGGAGATTGGTCCTTTAGTGAGTTTCCTCTCTGATAACATGCAGAGAGTTGGTCGCTGCTGCCCAGTTAAGTCTCCCTTACCTACAACACATCAGTTTAACCTTACGTATGCACACTGTAGATCGTAACACATTCAGCGGCAGCATTGCGGATTCAGAAAAGTGAACAGTGAAATTTATCGAAGCAATCCAGACTGCTCACCTGCTTCGTCCCCTGTCTACCCTGTGTTGTTGCTGCTGTCTGTCTTGATCTTTCGCCCCCTGGGGAGAACAGATCGCAGGAGTACTTGTAACATTTGTGGGTGACTCTGTCAGTCGCTGTTGAGTCATCAAGCTGAAACATTGCAGAATAAATTAATTTTCAGATCTTTGTTTCCTGACGAAAACATAAAATTTACCAATAACAGAAATATCAAATACTCAATTGTGGTCTTCTGCTTCGTAACACTTTTAGAGGAACATGCTGTCTCCATATTCAGGATAGAAGAATCTACTGGGCTAATGTCTTTATGGTATTCTACATTATGATCATAAATAGATTTCTTTATCACTCTGATTCATGGAAAGGAATCCATCTTGAGAAGCTGAGAAGGTGAGATAAAACTCAGTCATATCCCGACAGCGACAGCAGTTTGACCTTTGATAGCCGAGAAATTTCAACTCTTTGACTCCATCAAATACTCAGACAAGAACTGGGCAGGGTTTGAGGCCAAATTATTTCGGGCGTCGCATACCCATTGACTAGACCAACTCGACAGCCCAGAGTCCTTACTGAGAAGCTAACAGTAGCCAGACTAAATTGTTTTGAGGCTCCGAAATTTAGAACAAGCGATTTCTGTAGAAGGCCTTGTCCATCACAGCACTTCTAACAGAGATGAAAACGCTTAAAGGGGAGTACACGTAAAAATGAAGATTTGTTTTAAAAGAATATCACAAAATGGAAGAACTCCGCCTGTCTATTCTGCCCTCTCTTTTTCTACCTGTAATTATCAGGTGTTAACAGTGGTTATGTTAACTGTATCATGACCTCCAACGAGGGAAGGTCCCGTTTTCAGCACTGCCATGATTATTTTTCAGAACAATAGGTACTGAAGGTGGAGGTATACGCCCAGACTGAGTAAGCAAAATCCAGTTTTCAGAAGCCACTAGACATGACAGTGCTAATTCGGTCCAGCTGAACACAAAGATGGCGGTCAACATCAATTTTACCTCAGATCCTATACAAACGGACAGCGACTTCACTGTACCTGAACTCTTGAGATTCTTTCTCTACAGCGCCGCCCCCAGTTGACGCCTCCAACGGAGGCAGCACGGAGTTGTCACTCAACACTTGCTGTTCCGCGGCGTGGTCAGCCTCTGCCTCCTCTTTGACCGTCATCGTGATGGTCTCAGGGTCCTCTTCCTCAAGGGCAACTCTCGTCACAGTCGAACACTCTTGAATTGGCAAGTCAGTGACTGGTGGCAGGTCGGCTTCCGTTTGCATAATTTCTCCTGGCACTAGACACCAAGCAACACCAGGTCAGATACGCGACCATCCTCTACGCTTCGCAACTAAAACGGGAATAAAATTATGAACTGAAACATGCGATTTCAATGTGAGTTGACATCCTTGGAAGATACTTGAGAGCAGAAATAATTATTCTGACAGCAATGCAAAAAATAGGAATAATAATCCTTGAGCTTTAGGGTTCTCATGGCGGCGAATAAGAAAATTGTGGCTGTCTGTAGGCTCTTAGCAGCTTCTTGCTGCCTCCAACTTCAGGACAGAAAGAACCTCTGAAACGTCCGTCAAATTCTACGAGATTACACGAAGCAATATCCCGAAAGGATGCCGTCTTCAAATAATAATCCGATTGAGTCAGACTTAAATACGTTACCACACATCACGCAACATCTAATTACATTTTATTTTAAAGGTCTATATCAATACAGGCACAGAATATCGATATATAATTTGTTTACTCTGGTTTATGTTATTGTAAGCCTGAATACTGAAATTACGCCCAAAAAAAATATGTTCTTCCCTGCTTAAGTCATGCGCTCCCGTGAGTCCCTTCCGAATCCATACCAAATCCAACTTCTCAGACGCCTTTATGGAAGCTGTTAATGCTGTTACAGACGGAGTAAGAAAATGAAAGGAATTTTAATAATGAAAACAGGATAGTGAGATCAGACGAAACGTAGCAACTCGATCCTTTAATCTTCAGAAACTACAAGGAAGAAGCTGTTTGAATGAAAGTAAGATTCTACTGAAATGTCAGCCCTGAATGCGTACGTGTGTATTTTCAGATTAAAATTATGGGGTTAATAACGTCGGAAGAAGATGATAGGTAGACGACAAAGATGATAATATAATGACCGGGGGGAGGGGGTTAAAGGGAGTGATGGGAGAGAAAACGTCTTAATGGTCCAGAAGTGAGAGGAGGAATGTGTATTTTCAAGAGAAGGTGGAACACGAAAGTTAGAGAAAAAGGTGAAGCACGGAACAAGAGAAACGGAAGGAGACAAACATGATAATGCACGTTTTATGGACGTTGAAAGAGAGAGTGCTTATGAAGTTCGGTGATCGGTCTCATAGTTTCATTTTCCATCGTTGTCTCTGGATTGTGATACCATGTGGACTTCTATGTGATTAACAACATTTTTTTGGGAGATATCTCCTCCATCTTCAGGGTTCCTTGAAAATATTGGTAACCAGGTATAAGACATTATGGCGTCACGGCTAAGAAGATGAAAGTCCATGTTCATTTCATTGGTTAAAAGACCAGGTTTCAAATATGTGAAGTGCAGTTTTGTATATTTTAAGATTTGTCTTTTTTTTTCAAAAGGAAATATGATATTATGAATTACCAGATATTTGAGTGTAAATGACTGGAAACACTTCTACCGGAAGAAATGTCTAAACCAAGAGGCCTACCAAGTTTTTATAAAACCTGTAAAAGCATCGATAAGACAAACTCTCTCAACAGCCAGTTCCTGACAAACAAACAAGACAGCAGAACACAGAGACCAGAAATAACTTTTGCAATTAGTTAAATCTTTATTTAGAAACAGCAGTCGTTTATCGGATTGCAGTGCGATAACATTCTCCTTGTTAAATCGTCATCAAATCAAGGGACGCCAAATGATAATTGTGCAGTTTACAATCTTTTATAAGTTATATCGATTTATCGTAAATCGACAGAGCAGACAGGATACCATATACGAACAGAATCGACCAGTAGTCGTTTCGCAATGCGATGATACATTGTTTAAAATAGAAATTAAACACGGACGAAAACGCCTTCCAGGGTCGCTCTGCAACGCGAATCAAAATACCGGTGCAAATTTAAACCACGTCTCAGCTACTCAGCTCCTCGGGATTCGAACGCACCTTTGATATTAAACTGTCTCTGCGTTACATTCAAGTTAACCTAAGAGATATTTTAAAAACTAAATTACAGGGAAATGTGTGGTAAAGGTGATTTTTTTTTGTTCTTTATTGACAAATACTTGTGTCACGTGCCTTGAAGCTAATAATCTTATATTTGTACCGCAGAATAAATCCACGGGGTCTCAATTCCTACGTGAAACACTGTTACAGTAAATACCCCATAAAGTTTTCAATGCACTAATTTTTTTAACAACAATAAAATAGTCGAATTTGAAAAAAAGTTTATATAAATGTATTCTAGCTTATAAATGGTCAAACTAATAAGAATAATTACATGGACCATAGTTCTTTTTCAGAAGCTAACAGTAGCTTAACTAACAAAGATATCCCCTGTCTTTGAAAATGTCAAACATTTGTTACGATTTCATCAACAGCACGTCGCCTTCGTCAGAGTCATATGAACCACACCTTATTTTTTATCCATTCTAATATTATCCTCACACCTACGCCTAGGTCTAGCAAATGACCTCTTCCCTTAAGAATTTCCAACATCCTGTAAGAATGTTTCGGCTCTCCGATGCTACATGCCACGCCCACCTAATTCTTCTAGAACTGTTAATCCTAATTGCACGTGGTAAAGAATATAAAGCTCCTCATCGAGCAACACGCCCCCTCCCCGTGTCATTTCGTCAAATATTCTCCTCAGCATCCTACGGAATCGACACTCAGTTAATCGAAATAATAATTAACCAAAATTTATTTATACATTCGTATCAAATTTCATGACAATTATGTCCCATTGTACAGATAACACTGATAATTCAAATTCAAATTTTATGGAATATGCAGGGAGCGTTTCGGTTAACACGACGCCATCTTCAGTTTCACGTGTTGTTACATGAACCCTCAACTCATCTTCCTTGATTTGACCATACTAACATTATTTGGTGAAAAAGATTAATTACGAAACTCTTCATTGTGTAACATTCTGCCTTATTCTGTTTCTTGGGATTATATTATCCTCACTGTCCTGTTCTGAAACACTTTCTGTCTAGAACATATAAATAAAATCCTAAAATCATAGTATAAATTGAAATCAAAGAAAACATGAAATTTTACCACGTGTATGATGACATTATTTTCTCCATACAATACCAAAAATATTGGCTTTTTCATTGATACACGAAAAATACAGACAAGTATCCACACACGTACACACAAAATCAGAGTCTCAAAAGTTGAAATATTTATTGAAAACTTCTGAAGTACAGGAGTACACAACTGTTAGTCACTCAATGCAACAAAACACAAACAATGCGTAAATGCGCGCAAGAATGACTTAAAGTCATATGCAAAAATTATGACTCGTCGTGCCTCGTTAAACACGACAAAAAAAGGAGATCAGAATTAAACTGCTTTTAGAACAGTAAACATTGATGGTTTCAAATCAATACCAATATACAGACGCTGGATTTAAACTTTTGAGAGAGCATTTGTCTATTTACAACATAACACGTATTTTCTTTAAGATATTCTCGCGAAAAAGTAATACTGTCTTAATTTTATCTTTAATTAACATTAAATCGCATCTGACAAATTCAAGTGAAAAAAAATTGCATAAAATCGACGTAATTTCACAAATAAAATTCTACAAATCCTCGAAAATACATCTCTCAAATTACGAATACATTTCCGTTGTTATTCTGATCTGTTGAAAGTTTTAAACATCTGATACTTCATTTTTAATTCTGTATAGGAAACCACAAAAAAATTATAATCATTATTAAAATTACTACATTTACAAGATATATTTAAAATGTTTGGAGGACTTAACTTTGTAAATGAAAAAGTGTAGTTTTAATCACACAATTAAACATAACCAACACACCACGTACATAACACAAGCGTTCTGTTTAAATACCTGCAAATGGAAAGCAGCTTTCAATTTTGGGACAACATAACTGAACTTTTAACATTGAAATTAAATATCTCGTTACAGCATCCACGAAAGAAAATGATCACCCTTTGATACCACTAAAATCTATTGTATTATGACGCCATATTTTCTTCAAAATAATCGATCCTTTCGTGCACTGGATTACAAGTATGAACGAACTCTCGGAACTAAATGTTGAGAGGACACTGTAAGGAAGACTTCAAACCTTCCACGTCACAAATATTTTCATTCCACAAAAATACCATGCACTTTTTTTACCGTGTACATGTTAAAATGAGCCAGTGAGTACTACTGCTTGTATAAGACGGCGGTGTATTGCCATGAGATAGGAGGAGCACTAGGCTGTAGACCACTGGGCTAAAATTAAATCTTCACAAGTTTTCCCCCTCAGTTCCACCTCTACTGTAAAACTAAACCCCCTCTTTTTCTTAATTTGGCGGCCTCCTAAGAAATTCGAGATTGGTCCGTATTTGGTATTAGGGAAAGCTCGCGCGGGGTACATTTGGGTTCTACTTTTCTAAATTTAAACTAGCGGTATATGTGTCTTAACGTAACTTTAGCAAGAGCAGTGTCAAAATGGAGCCGGCAGCTCGTACAGTGGGCAGGCAGTCCACGTACAGCCAGTACAAAGCATTCACACAACAGAATCGGTCATTTGCAAAACCACATGAATCCACAAAACTCACTTACGAGAAAACTTATTTAAAAAAATATGTTAATAAACACAATTTTAATTTTACGATTGGTTTATCCTTCCCCAAGAATAACTGGCAAGCATATAATACTTTGATACACTTATATACATCTTATAAACTCATTTCTTTTGGACTCATGTTGTTGAAACAGGTACCCACATAATATCGAAGGAAATTTGTATGACTCGTGTGATTGTTTGTATTTTATCACTGCCAGGGTAACCTAGTTTCTGTAAGTCTGAATGGCTTCTTTATGGCCAAAACCTAAACTAAAACCTAGAAGTAAAATAACATTAGTCCAGGACTCATGTCGTTTTATCGGTAAATAGAAAACATAAGAGGCTGCCAACGCTTACTAATTGCTTGGACCGATGTGATTCCTAAGGGAAAATGATGCATTTGCCTGAATCGAATTTCATTAAGATACATTTTAATATCATCCTTCCAGCTATGCCTACGCTTCTTAGTGGTC